CCCCCCACACCCCCCCACCCCCACACCCACACCCACACCCCCCCACACCCATACCCACACCCACACCCACCCATCACACCCACACCCCATGTCGAGAACAGTTCAACAAACCGAGCTGCAACTTTGTATCAATACTATCAGTTACTGATACTATTATCAAAAAAAAGAATTTCAAGCGAATTGCTTGTGCCGTTGATTTAATGCAAATACACTTTGAAGAGGTCAAAATGCTAAGTTTAGCCAGTTTTGTGATTCTATATCTAGCGACTAGTGCATGATGGAGTGTTGAAACTTTTTTTCCGAAAAAATCTTGATGATATCATATTTTGATAAAAGTCTCACCTTATCTGAACAATGTGTTCGTTTTAAGCAACTTGAGCAAAGTCGGATTTTTCCTGAAATCGCAATTTAGGACGTTGGTGGTCTCAAAAAATATGGAACAGCTAATGAGCTGAGTACTTAGCCCTGAAAGCCTCATATTTGATCTACAACTTGGCGCAACAATTGGGGTGGGATCTCTATGGGTATAGAACACGACAATCAATGTACGATTAGGCATAGAGTACGAAAAAGTCTTACGCTGCAGGATTCTGACATTCAAACATACTCAAAATAGCGACTTCTTGATTAGTTGTTCTCTGCGTGCAAATCGCTTTATTAATTTTTGTCTATGAATACAGTTCTAGATAGGTCTCTTTGCATCCTACTTAACTCTTTTTACAGTATGAAAGTAATTCCCTCATCACTACCAAAAGGAAAATTATATTGAAAAATAACATACAACTATGTTGTGCAAAAATATTCTGTGGAAATCTGAAGAAATGGAAACTGTTAACGTACAACTGAGAATATATATAAACCTCCTACTCATGCACCTTTTTAAAGACGGAAGGTGCCTCATGTACAACTGTGAAAGGGTAAGGATAACACTACATATAAAAATTCAGAGAAGTAAATGAGCAGCATATTTCAGCAGCAGAAACGATGTTTCATGCTTTTATGAAATGAAACTTTAAATAAATACTGCTTAATATTTGTACACATGCAACAAATCTCTTTCTTGTAAAAATTACTTTCAATATACTTTACCTACCTCGATGTTTCGATAACAATAGTATATACATCATGTGTGTATCAATCACACCTATTTACATGTACCAAATCTAGCTTTTCAATATAATGCTATTCTTCACTTTTTCTTGATATCTCTATAATTTTTAATGAACAGGAAGAAAATGTGATAGTGGCTTTTGGCTTATACCAGCAATTGTAGCATCAGTGGGGCATCTTTCTTCATTGATCTCTGATTTCTGATTTTCTAATATTCTCTAAAACTGATGGATAAAAGTTGATATTTCATGTCTTTATATGTGGAGATTCTTAATAATTTTACAAAAAAGTAAATTTCTGGTTTAAAAATTAGAAACCAGAAATCAGAGATTTTCTATAAAAAAAACTGGTTATAGTTTGAGATTTCCCACGCCCTCACCACTGTACTAGTGAAGGAAAGAAATATACAACATCATCAAGATCTATGATTCAATACAGCATTTGAAAATTACTTTAACAGGACTTCGATGTTGGAGGACGTTCATAAATTAAGAAAATATAGTGCTATAATGTGCCGTATAGTAGTTTCGCATAATTTGTTATCCATGCAACAGAATAAAAGTCTTATAGAATGAAGATTATTGTAATGAATGATGTTTTGTATAATAATAATTCCTATTTATTAGAATCAAAATGGAGAGAAAGTAAATAGAAAAAATGCTTCTCTTGTAATTAATTACATTAATTATTATCAAATATATGAACGAAATAGTTTTTCATAAACTCTACAGATGTTTCTTACATGCAACTAAGAGATTGGAGTCCACAGTCAAAAATAAACATTTTTCATATTCTATGAAAGATAAGATTTAAAATAAAGACACTTGAAAATCTTTCATTTACTTTATAGCTTTTGCGTACAAATTGAGTGTAGGTGTGTAGGAATTCATTTTATTTTTTTTCTGAAAAGTTTTAGTTTGCTCATCAACTTCTTAGTTCCCTATGTAAAAATTTCATTTTCGAGGTAATGCGCAGTATCATCTATGAGAAGAAGGTAGTTAAAATCATGTAAAAAAAAGTTAAACGAGTTGGCTCAAGTTTAAGTGATCACTGAGACTAGCTAAGATCCAAATTTAATTGCCTTACTATTGAACGAATGTGAATATTTCAATGTATAATTAATAATTAGTCATTTTTCCCCAGTAATGAATATTCGGTTTACAAGTTTCTATGACTGTATTTCAAAAGATTGTTTCAATATAATTTGTTTTTTTAGAATAATAACTACATAAAATGACATTTCAACATCCAAAGACAGCGGAATTTCATATGTTAACGCATTATTAATCTTTCTTTTTTGAAGTCAGTGAGTTTTAGAGACATACAAATAAGGGATTAATCTAAATGTGAGATGAACGGGTATAAAAGTTCAGAAACTTTCTCGCTCGACGAATGTACCAAACATACCTCTGTACCATGAGAACAGTTCCATTGGGATTCAAATTTATGTTGAATAATAAATGTATCTGTGACATATGAATTCATTTATTTTGAATTATTATTGCATTATCTCAAATTGGATACAAACGATGGAATAATCTTGATATAGACTAATTCACGTTTTAATCGACAATCAGATTCTACTTTGATTACTTGAAATCGTGTTCCAGGCTTCAATAATATTTCTTCTTTACTCTCAATATATGAATTGTTACTTAAGTATGTAAATTGATTACTAGATAAATATTGTTGTAGCTCGATAATGTAGAGAACATTGTGTCCAAAATTTCTGGCAACATCTCGATCGAGTGAACTCGATACAAATGGACGCCATCTAAAATATTTGTCTTCTCTTCCAGCTGCTTGTTTATATTCTTCCAACGTTTCAGAACAAACATAATCACCACGATACAGAATCATTGGTTGCGTGTCCCTAACACGAATTAATTGTAGAAGACGACGTCGAAATGATATACTTTGATTATTATGGCGGCCAATGTAATTGTAAACAAGATAACAAAATGGACCTAATGCATCGAGTTTAGCTCGATCATTAGAACGTAATGCACCATTAGCAACACTGTGGAGAAAACATGGCTTTGTGTATAATTTGGCACAGCAATCTTGCAGTTTTGTCATTTTTTCCAATTTTTTCTTTTGCGAAGTTTGTTCTTTAATAGGATATAGTTCACTCACAATATCATTAACAGTTCTTTCTTGTTCATCGTGTCCTACCAGTTTTAAGCGACGAATAACAGCAGAAAAGACAGTATCAAATTTTACATTCAATTTCCCACGAGTAAATGCTAATAACCAATCTCTAGCAAATTGTGAACCCTGATAAAATGTATCCATACTTGTACTGTCTAACATAATCATATCCAGTGAAGATGAGAGTCTTTCTTCACGAGCAACATCTGATTCTATGCTCTTGTATTTGCCACATGCAATATCAATTTAAGACGTCGAATAGGTATTTGACGCTTTGAGTCGCGAATATCCTCTTGTAAAAGTTCTACGAAATCAATTCTATACGATGTACCGATGAATGTTTTGCTGTCACCTCTCTTAAAAGCTTTCTCTATGGATGATGATATGTTTGGTGCATAAGGAGTCCATTTATTGAGTTGATTACAATTCCGTGAACTTTTATCGATGTAATATAACCAGATGAATTCATCATCCAGTGAAAATTCCAATAGGGGACCTACAGAAATCAATTTGACTGAAGAAACCATCTTGAACCTAAAATTGGACACATATAGAGATGCATCAATTCTATTTTCTACATACAGTTTGTAAAGTCATACAAATAACTCTCAAATATTATTTAATCATGATATTAAACTCTGTTAGTCAATTTTACAGCTTATAATTGACGGGAGTATCACATAGTAATGAATATTCTTGGACATAAGCGAAAGTATCATACAAAAAGAACTAAAGAAATCAGTTCAAGCATGAACTCTGCCAATTCTTCTCCATAGCATAGTACTGTTTATTATTCAGTTTGGTAGCTAAGAGGTGAGTAGCACAGTTTTGGATTTTTCAGGTTTAAGATCCTCCATCTTTCAGGAATTCTGTTGAACTCTATAGGATTCTTTTCAATATCCTAGAAATTCTCAGTATTCTCAATTAGCTACTAAGAGTCTATTAGGCGATACCATATAAGCTAAAATTAGTGACGGAGCCAGGGGATGGCCAGAGGGGGCTGAGCCCTCTCCAGAAACCTCCGAGCCCCCTCTAGAAGAAAATTATTAAGTCTAGCTGTCTTTCTGAGAAAATGAAAATAATTATTCTTAACTATTCGATAGTATTTAGAGTTATATTTGTAAAAATATCAGTATTTAATATTCATTTTCTTCAGCGTATTCCATTGTTTAATCTTCGTTCAGTTGTTTGTCGAATGATATTCTTAGAAATGACTAATTACTTATTCATGACTATATTTTTCAAAAGTAATCCGAACAACTTTTGTTTTGTTCATTACAGGTAGTAATTATTCGTATTGTTAGAGGTTGATATGCATTATCCTCTCTTCTTTCACGTATATCGTCTCTTTCTGTTCTCTCCACATATGTTAGTTTGTCTTTGTTCTCTTTACATTTCGTCATTCTCAATTTTCATCATCTTTCACATTGTTCATCTTCCGATTTTCTCGCTTCATCATTTCTCTCATTGTTCTCATTTCATCATCTTTCTGATTGGAAATAGTCGAATACTATCACGTTAAACTTAATTTAATAAATAAACAATTTAAACATTTTCACTTCTTTTCCTTGTATATCACTGTTTCTATGGTAAAAATATATTATGCTAGTATAGTTTTGAACTTTAGCAGAGACTGGGAATGTGCCCCCTCCACAACCTTTTTCTGGCTCCGTCACTAGCTAAAATACGATCTGAAACAAGTGTTGAAGTATAGGAATCAACGTGTGAACTTTATTGCATTCATAAACTATCATAGATAGTATATCAAAAACGATTCGTTACAATATATGAACTCTTTTCTAATTGCTTTTCCGTAGGATTAAGTAAAAAAGAATGCTGAAGAAATGTGTTAAACGGTCGACAGAGCAAAACAGTATTCATATGATCAGCAAAAGTAGCTACGTACATCGTGTTTGATACTTTAGTTTCCAAGGCAACGCACTAACAAATTTTTCTCAATCGTTAGTGGTCATCGCTGTATATGCATATTGCTAGCTCGTTAATTGCGTCTTTGTGAGTTGTATTTCTTAGAATCACTCCTATCTTAATAATAAACGCTGTAGCTGGAATGATCTCTTTACTTAGTTCGTGGGTGCATTTACATCTTGTTTTCAAAAACACGACAACACTCTCATTTTTTCTGAAACAACAATGCACCTAAGAACTTGAGACTCTAAGATTTAATTGGAACACTACAATGCTATAAAATCCTTAAGAATTCTCTTATTTCATGATTTTCATCTCGTCGAAGACTGAATCTGTCACGCATGAAAAAAGAATCATCAATAATCATGTTTCAGGGAATGTGTTCACACACACACACACTTGCCATTGAGACTACAGTGTTGGAAAGACAGAGATTGAAAATATTGTCTATTTAGTGAGATGAATATTTAACTTGTATGTGATTAAAACGTAGATTAATCCTTAACTTCAATCTCGTCAATCAATACTTACTTCGTCTTATTTTGTGGAACTCACGTATATTTTCGAAGAAAATAGTGAGTGTAAGTTTTAAGTTCGAGGTTTTGCGGCTCCCCCTCCCTCCCCTTACAGACAGGCCCCCCTTACAGACCATAGCAACGAAAGAGA